TTTTAGAAACCAGGCTTTATTGAAGTGATCCTGTTTTTGTTCGCTCTAGATGATCCTTTTGCTCTTTCTTAAGCTCTCCTGCTCATAATAACTTTCACATCATATGCTAGTACATGGCGGTAGAAGAATTTAAGTGATCGTATGTAGAGGTATAATTGTGTGAAATAATGATGTATAATAATGTGTAATAATTTACATGTGTACAGATACAGTGCTGTTTTATATTGATTAATTTTATTATTTCACAAGTCCAGGGAAGCTTTGTATTATATTGTTTTATAGAGGAGGATGGTTTTAGAGATAAGTAACTTGCAAGGGTCAACGATAGTGAGTGGGCAGAGCAGATTAACTCCAATGGTCAAAAGACCAGCATGGTTAACTCTTAAACTACTGCACCCATGGGAAGTGGACTGTGAACAATAGGAGAGTGACATGAAAATAAGGCATAGATGCAGAAACAGCAAAATATGGCCGCTTATAGCGGTATTAATTCTGTATTTTCTCTATGAATTTGCATTATTTATTTTTTGCTTAGATTTGATAATGGCGGTTTTGTTTTGTTTTTTTTTTTCCTTTGAAAGTCTCTCTGATTGCCTGGGCTGAATCCATGGTATCAGCCTAGTCAAGCATCTCTAACTTGGGCTACATCTTATGCTCGTACTCAGAGTAGCTGGATACATGCCACCATGCGGCTATTTATATTTTTTAGTTGGCCATTAATTTCTTTCCTATTTTAGTAGAGATGGGTCTCATCTTGCTCGGTGGTACTTGTGACTAAGTTGTCTGCGCCTCGGCTCCTGATGTCCGATGGGCGGGGTACGTCAGGTCTGTCCCTACTATGATTTTTCTTTATATGTGTTTAAAAATAATGTGGTCTTTTTTCATTAAATTGCTCTTTTGCCTATAAATAGAGTATAAGAGAGATGAATTAGTTGAAACGATCATAGTTGACTTAATAGTTTCTGTGCTTGCTTGATAGGTTGCAGTACATGTTTAGTTTTTGAGTTATCTATGTGCGTTGTTTGTGTTTTTGCTTGTGTTATCTGTCGATTGCTAATGATCTACCACTGTTTCACAATATCTAGTGGAATATGTAGTTTTTATACCTGATAGGGTCTTATATTTAGGCTTTGTATTGCGTATCACAGTTTACTTACTTCCAGTTATGCGCTCTATTGGATGATTGAATTATGTTGAATATTTTATTTTAATAGGTTTGTAGGGCGGAAGTTGGAGTAGCTTTAATATTTGTGTTTTGCCTTTCATATGACTTTTTTGCCTTATATAATATGCTTTGTGGGTTTAGTTGCTAACATCAGTTTGTTGCTACCAAGCCTCAGATTGAGAAGCTTTGAGTTAATGTATTGGAATTCTGGGTGAGTATCAATCTTCTACAAACATTTCCTTTGAACATCAAGATGTATTTAAATGAGCTTTCAAGGCAATACAGAAGTATAATCAAAGTAAGTTTTTCAGAATTATAAAAAGAGGATGTTCATGTATGTCTATTCCATCTATATTCTTCCCCACCCTGAATATTGTGCAATATGACTTCAGGTGTTGTGCATGTTTAATTCTGAAGCTACGGTGCAGCCTGCACGAGGTAAAAAAAAAAATTAAATCACTTGTAGGAATATTGCGAACTGCTGAGGAGTATACTGACTATAAAAATATTAATTATTCTCAATTGGAGTTGTACACTAATCTCCTGCTTGTATCAGGAATCCTGTTTAGATGTGTTTATGAGGAAGTAGGCGTTTTGTGGATAAATCTAGATGTCATTGTAGCTACTTGTGTGTTAGTATGACGACGTAGTTTAGCTTTTCAGATATCTGTCATAGCTCATAAGAACTCTGTAGTTTTTTGCCTAGCATGAACATAATTAGAATTATAAGTTACTATATTATAAAGAATCCCTACAGTGGGTAGATGTTAATAATAGCTCATGTATTATAATTACGATGACATTATTCAATAAGTTTAATTTTTTTAAGGTGATTGGTGGATATATTATATAGAGAAATTTGTGCTAAATGTTCTATCTATTAGTATTATTGATCATTTAATTAAATAAGGAGGTAAATATAATAGTATTTGAATATTTAGAAATTATTGGATTTACTTATTTTTTTTATTTATTCTAGTATATGTGGTTGGTGTGCACATGCTTTCACCACACACATGCTGGAATTAATTCTATACTTTAATTGTTACAGTAATTTTGATATATGGATGTATACGTGACCAACTCACAGACTAACTGTATTGTGTATGTTCTTGAAGTCTAATATATTTGATTTATGCGATTATTTAAGAAAAATAAAAATGTTTTCTTGCTTTTTCCTTTTTTTTTTTTTTTGGCAGTTATATGGATGGTGCGTCGCTTTGTGGTTGTCCCTGGAGCTAGAGTGATATAACACCCTGGAGAGATAATAGATATTGATGAAGAAAGAGTCAAGAGTACATGGGGAAATTTTTTGGTAACATAAAACATTACTTTGTATTTTGAGAGTCGTAATAATTCAGAAGCAATATGGCAGCTTTATCAATTCAACCACATAAAATGTCCTGCTTTTCTTGATACTTTGGGGCATTATTCTGAACAACAATCTTTATATTGTGCTAGAGATGTGGATATAGGTATAAATGGTGTTGATCAAGGGTCAGATAACTTAGCTTCATACTCTACTAATTTCAGTAAATAAAATATGATTCTGGCTGATGAGCCTTCAGCGTGGCATGCTGATCCCAAACTGGGGTGTCAACGGGGCCTCTGCCCTGGGCTTCTGTTCTGTTTGAGGTGCATGGTCTTGGGATCTGAGGTCACGTGGATCTGGGAGAGTCCTGGCTCCCTCCTTTAACAGCCATGTGACCTTGAATATGAAACTTAACCATTTTATGTTTCGTGTTTCTCATCTTTAAAGTGGGTCTATAAGAATTGCAGCCTCAGCCGGTGCAGTGGTGCATACCTATAGTTCTAGCTACTTAGGAGGTGAGGCAGGAGGATCTCTTCGGTCCAGGAGTTCAAGTCCAGCCTAGGCAACATAGCAAGAACTTATCTCTCTCTTAAAAAAAAAAAAAAGAATTGCTGTGAGAATTAAATGAGAAAAATAGTGAAATGATATAAAATGCATAATACAGTGATAGCCTCTCTAATAGGTTATTTGTCACCTTTCCCTCAGTCCCCTAACATACTGTAGCACTATCTCTAAATAACAATAACTCCATTAATAGAGTTAGCTTTTGTTTGAAACATAATGTATACCAAAATGCATTCAGACTCTAGAGTCTATCTATCCAAGAAGCTTAGTTACTCAAAAAACCATAAAAATATATTATATAAGATATTCTTGCATTGCTAGCCCTTGGGACTTTGGTAATCTAATCTTATAAAAGTACAACTTAAGCATCAAGATTTTATGATCTTTCTTATTTGAAAATCCTGTTACTGCTTATATTAGAGTCCACAAGCTATAACAATTATTTTGAAAAAAAAAATTATATTACTTGTGATTATTCCCTGTTGAGCACAAATAGTCTTTGCAGTTTAAAGGATGCCTTCTATGCTCTTAGCATCAGGCCTTGTTCTTTTGTATTAATATATATTTCCTCAACTGAAATCATTGTACCTATGACAGCTGCAGTAACCTTTGAAATCTGGCCTTAAGAGCTTACATAAGCCTTTCCACAGAACCACTTCAATTTCTCAAATGTTCTTCCTTCTGGACCAATACCAAAGGAGATTTAATTATCAAGAGAAAACACACACACACACACATATTAGAAAAACATACAGATGTATTTTTTATATTATTTGCCATATTAAGTACTCTCATAGATACCTAAGAAGGTCAAGAAGAGAACTTTAAGATGTAGTACTTGTAGACAGGTATAAATTGTGATGAAATAATGATGTATAATAATGATAGTAATAGCAATTTACTATGTGTACCAGATACAGTGCTAGCTCTTTTATATGCACATTATTTTATTTATTTCCACAACAAGTCACAGGGAAGCTTGGTTATTATCTCTGTTTTATAGAGGAGGAATTGAAGTTTTAAGAGATTAAGTAACTTGTCCAAGGTCCAACAGATAGTGAGTGGCAGAGCCAGAATTCAACTCAAGGTCCAAAGACACCACGCACGTTAACTCTTAAACCTCCTGCCACCACATGGAGAATGACTGGTGAACAATAGGAGAGTGACCATGAAAATAAAGGAATAGAAATGCAGAAACAGAAAATATGGCCAGCTTAATAGGGTAATCTATTCTGTGTAATTCTCTATGAATTTGCCAATTAATTTAACTATTTTTGCTTAGCTTTTGAAATAATGGCGGGTTTTGTTTTTGTTTTTGTTTTTTTTCCTTTTGAGACAAAGTCTCACTCTGTTGCCTGGGCTAGAATGCCATGGTATCAGCCTAGCTCACAGCAATCTCTAACTCCTGGGCTCAAGCAATCCTTCTGCCTCAGCCTCCCGAGTAGCTGGGACTACAGGCGTGCACCACCATGCCCAGCTAATTTTTTCTATATATTTTTAGTTGGCCAATTAATTTCTTTCTATTTTTAGTAGAGATGGGGTCTCACTCTTGCTCAGGCTAGTCTCGAACTGCTGACCTCGAGTGATCTGCCCGCCTCGGCCTCCTAGAGTGTTAGGATTACAGGCGTGAGCCACCATGCCCGGCCTTGAAATAGTGTTTAAAAAATAAATGCTGCTTAGCCAAATGCCTCTTGAGCTATAATAAATAGAGCTAAGTCAAGAGGTGAAATTAAGTTGCAAAAGAAAATTCCTACATAGTAGGCTAGCAGATAGAGTTGTTTCATAGATAAGTTCCTAAGATAAAAAGGGTTTTGTTTTTCGCCCTGTGTTAGTATGTAGATTATAAAAGCACTTTTCCCACATGTAGTGGAAATATGCATATTCCCTTTACTAGTCATTGCATGCAAACCTACTCTCATACCTCTTAATGAATATAATTTTCTTATTTTATTTTTAAAGGTGAAGGCGGAAGTTGGAGATGTTAGTATTTTAGTAAATAATGCTGGTGTAGTCTACACATCAGATTTGTTTGCTACACAAGACCCTCAGATTGAGAAGACTTTTGAAGTTAATGTACTTGCACATTTCTGGGTGAGTATGACATCTTCTACAAAAACATTTCCTTTTGAAAATCCCAAAGATTAAATTTAAAGTAGAGCTTTCAGCAAATACAAGAAAGTAATAAATCAAAGCTAAAGTTTTCTCCAGGGGCGACATTATACAAAGAGAGCACTGTTCATGCTATGTCTAAATTCCATCTATCATTCTTCCCCCCACCCCCTGAAAATATTGATAGCAATAATAAACTTCAGGTGTTGTGCATGTTTAAATTCTAAGCTGGTGCCAGACTGCAAGAAGGTAAAAAAAAAAATTAAATTCTAAGCTGGGTTCCCACATCTCTGCATGATCCTGTTTAGAGATAAAGAAGGGAGTTAGGAACCATCTGTGTCATTGTGATTCTGTGAAGGTGAACACAGTTTGCTTTCAGATTCTCATGAGACTCAGGCCTCATGTCATTTCCTAGCCCTAAAATTGCAAACTTTATCATTCATATATATATGAATGAATATAATATGAATATTATTTATATTATTCATATTATTATATAATTCATATCATTATATAATAATATGAATATATATATTCATATTATATATGAATATATATAATGAATATATATACACACACACACACACACGATGTGCATGTTTCTGAAGTCTCCAAATATTGTCCATATAGCCAGTTCTTTTTTTTTTTTTCTTTTGAGACAGAGTCTCGCTTTGTTGCCCAGGCTAGAGTGGAGCTGCCGTGCGTCAGCCCCGCTCACACAACCTCAACCTGGGCTCAAGCACATCCTCGCCTCACCTCCCCGAGTAGCTGGGAACTACAGGTCATGCGCCACCAGCGAGATAATTTTTCTATATAATGATGTGACCAATTATTTCTTTCTATTATAGTAGAGATAGGATCTCCATCTTGCTCAGGCTGGTTTGACTCCTGACCTCGAGCAATCACCCGCCGCCTCCCCAGAGTGCTAGGATTTATACGGCATGAGCCATCACGCCCGGCCCATATGGCCAGTTCTTAAAAGGGCTCACAAAGTTTTCTTGGACGTGAGTTTGGAATGACTAATATTAAAAGAATATTGGGGCTAGGCGCAGTGGTTCACACCTGTAAACCCAGCACTTTGGGAGGCCAAGATGGGAGGATCGCTTGAGGCCAAGAATTCGAGACCAGCCTGGGCTAAAAAGTGAGACCTTGTCTCTACAAAATATAAAAAAGTTAGCCAGGCTTGTTGGTGTATACCTATGGTCCTAGCTCCTTGGGAGGCTGAGGCAGGAGGATTTCCTAAACCCAGGAGTTCAAGGCTGCAGTGAGCTGTGATCATGCCACTGTGCTCCAGTCTGGATGACAGTGTGAGACTGTGTCTCTAAAAATATAAAGTAAAATAAAAAAATAAGAATATCGGGATTGGTAAAAATGCAGTGTTATTTTATGTTAATATTCTCAAGTTAATGAGATCTATTGTTATGTTTTTGTGTTTGTTAAAATGTAAGGCAGGCCGGGCGCTGTGGCTCACGCCTGTAATCCTAGCTCTTGGGAGGCCGAGGCAGGCGGATTCTCAAGGTCGGAGTTCAAACCAGCCTGAGCAAGAGTGAGACCGTCTCTACATAAATAAAAATTAATGCCAACTGATATATATATAAAAATTACCGGGCATGGTGGCCATGCCCGTAGTCCAGCTACTCGAGGCTGAGCGAGGAGGATCGCTTGAGCCCAGGAGTTTGAGGTTGCTGTGACTAGGCTGACGCCACGGCACTCACTCTAGCCTGGAAACAAAGCGAAACTCTGTCTCAAAAAAAAAAAAAAAATGTAAGGCATGGTCTTGTTTCTGCATCTCCAGCACATAGTACATACTCAACAAATATTTGGTGCATGAGTCATTTAGTGACCACTGGCAGATTGCTATTCATGGCAATATTTTGATGATATAACCGAACTATTTTTTAATAATTTCACTAAATGTAAAATCTTTCGATAACTCTGGAATTATCATCCCTATTCGGTATATGAGATGACAAAGTGACATCAGTGACAAGAGGTGGAGGGTTAGGGGACGGTAAGAAGTTACGTAAAAATCACCAAAAAAAAATTTGGTGATTTATTTTGGTAATTTAAATGAGATGGATTCTCAAAGCTTTCAGTATCTGATATTTTGCTTAGTTTTTCCAATGTGGGAATCCTGCCCAGTTGCTTTACGTTGCCACATGTGGCATTTAATTTAGGTTTTTTTCATTTACGCCAGGAACAATGTTATTTGTTTAAATCTTTGTTTCAAAATATTCCCAATGGGTCTGCAAATAAAAATTACAATGTTTTTTCTCTTTTGCTAAAACTATTCCTAGACTACAAAGGCATTTCTTCCAGCGATGATGGAGACTAATCACGGCCATATTGTCACCGTGGCTTCACTAGCTGGGCACACTGTCGTCCCCTTCTTACTGGCTTATTGGTATGTGAACCTGTGTTTCCTTCTTCGTTGGTTCTTATGCTTAACTCGTATGTGAGATTTCTTAGCCTGTCGAATGAGGACACCTTTATAATGATAGCAGCCTTCGAGTTGCTGAGATAGGCAGAAAGAGTTGCACAAAGTCTGTTGTATGACAGCGGTTATCGACTGTTAATCCCCTTCTAGATTTCAACGAGGGGAACCTTCTAGACCTGGCTGCAGGGAATTTATCCAGTTACAAGCTAGCCAGTCACTCCTCACTTTTAACAGCAAGGAATTACAAACAAGAACAACATTTTTGTAGCATGAACAAAAATTAATATTAATGCTTTTTAATATTAATAAAAAATGGGTAAAATTCTGTGAAAACAGTGAGTTTGTCGTCTGGAGGACATAATATTAATGCTTTTATATTAATAAAAAAATGGGTACAAATTCTGTGGGAAGACAGTGAGTTTTGTCGGTGATAGCTTATCTGAGAATCTCTAAACAGTTAAAAATATCAAAACACAATGGAATCTTCTGAAAAAAAAAAATTTTGTGAATGATTGTCCATTTAAAAGATTGATGCAGGAAGGGCCACAGCAACGGTGTGCTCCATTGGGACTGTAAAGAATGGTCAGTGAGGCCCACCGGATAGCCAGGGTGGTCGCTGACTGGTTGCTACACCCTAATAGGTCCTTGTCTGTAGTCTTATATTCTTATTCGTCTTTACCATACATTCTAGCGAATAACTTTTAATTGGTCCTAATATGATTGTGCAAATATCATGTGCACACACATAATGCCTCGAATTTGTTTCTATCATTGTGCTCTTTTGAGAAAAAGTATCTAAATCCTAAAAGCATGGATATAGTTACACATGTAGCTATAGATAGTGTGGTACTACGCAACTATGTAGACAACAGACCTTGGTGACTTGCTTTTATGATAACTTGCATTTTAAGTTGGCAAGATATATAGCAAACGCTTTACTCTAACCAGCATCTAAAAGAGTGCTTATGTTTAGGAAATCGGCCAAATGATTCTTCTGTATTTTTTGTTTTGTTTTGTTTTGTTTGTTTTTGTGGTTCATTATATTTTCTTCTTCCTGTCTTTTCTCTTTTTCCTTTCTGGACATTATCTTGTTTTCTACTAGTTAAAAATAATACAGACATTGATGAATTCTTCACAAAAACAAGTGAAACATTGGTGAAGCCAGTCCACCAAAACAGACGCACTGGTGTCCCAGATTGGATGTATTTCTCCTTTCAGACCAGTTGAAAGTAGGGCAGTTTGGCCGCTCAGCAGCACAGGGTAATACGATTTGGGCCATTTATTTCACCTTCCTTGATGAAAGGTAGTTACAGGTGTTGCCCCGGGCTACTACACAGCATTCCACTTCCCTGCCAGACAGGGGTTAAGGAAAAAGGACAACAACAAA